TCTCTCTCTCTCTCTCTCTCTCTCTCTCTCTCTCTCTCTCTCTCTCTCTTCTTCTTCTTCTATATCTCCCTTCCTTTCCTGTGTTGCTATCTTGGTTCTCTACCCATTAATTGTCTGTCTTCCTTCCTTTCTGTCTGTCTCTTCTTCTTCTGTTTTGTTCCACCCTCCTCCTCCTTCTTCATCTTGACTGCTTGTATTTCTCAACTCCCTCCCCTCTTGTGGCTCCCTCCTCCTCCTCCTCCTCCTCCTCCCCCTCTATCTCTCTCTCTCTTTCTCTCGCTGTCTCACTTTCTGTCAAGCCAGCCACAGCAGCAACAGTGGTAACGCCAGTAGCTCACTGTATGCAGTCACAGCAGAGGCTGCAGTGTGTGGGTCTAACTGTGTGTGAGTGTTGTGTTTGCGTGTTTACAGTGTGTATATCAGCCAGTGTGCCTGCTGGTCTTTCAAGAGTGAATATAACATATGGAGTTACTCTAAATGACGACTGGAGGAAGATATGTAGGAAGAACCATCCTGAAGCTCATTAAGAGGAAGAACGAACACATAACATCCATTTTCCTCTTTCGCACTTTTTTATTTCAGTCTCTCTCTCTCTCTCTCTTTCTGTCGGCCTCCTAATTTCGGTAGCTCTTCTCTGACTGTCTTACTCGATTGCTGCTGCTAGGATTGTGTGCAACATAACCGTAAGTGGAGTTCCTTGTCTGTGTGTGTGTGAGTCTGTTGTTATATTATGTATGTGGTGTGTGTGTGTGTGTGTGTGTGTGTGTGTGTGTGTGTGTGTGATCTCACTCCATGTAAATTTTTACTTACTGCGACCATAATTTGTGCCTGAGTGCACATATTTGCATGTAAGTATAAATGGCGTCTCATGACATCGCCAATGACTTAATTAGGCCAATTTGTAAAGCCCTAATTGTAGTGAAGGGGCTGTGTATTCATGTAGACATCACTGACCTCCATGGTATAAATCTGTTCATATTCATAAATGTTTGCCAGATGTGTATTATTCAGCGAGTGCCAAAACTGTCACCGCTGCCATTTAATGTCCCAAAATGTCACTTGTTGGCGTAACATTTGAATGGATGTCCTCTCCTCCAGGTATTCTCTGCAGTTTGTGAGAGTGAGAGACAAATAGGGAATGAAGGAATGATTGAGAGAGAGTTAGTATGTGTCTATGTGAGTGTGTGTCCCTCTGTCACCCAGGGCATGGAGAAAATCAATAGATCTAGCTTGAGTTGGACCGTTTACCTCTGCCAAGTGATGGACAGACACTGTGGCCTTCACAGGTCCACTGACAAGTGCTTGGGATTGCCTGTAGACGTACGATGTCAGCTCTGCACGTTCCTTCTTAAGTGTCTTTCGCTTTTCGTCTATGATTGATCTTTCATGTGTGCGCATGTGTTCTGGAAAGCACTTTTGTGTTTGGTTAGGTAGGTGGATTTATGTCTGAGCTTGTGTAAAATGTCTCGCTGTCTCCTTTATTTTTTTTACTAAAGTTCGTGAAGGAGATCATCCATCAAAAGTTTGTTTTGTAGCCTGCAACTGGCATGGCCAGTACAACCAGTCAAATGGATGAGCAAGAGCTGGCGAAAAAGATGGATAGAAAGAAGAGAGAGCCAGAGCATGTGAGAAGGGAACAGAGCGAGACCATCGTAATCAATCCTCCATGATCCTGGAAGAGCATCATTTGTCTTCTTTTCTCACTCCACTCCTCCTCTTGCCCCCATCTTTCTCTCATTTTCTGTGGTACAGTCACTTTGAGTATGCGTAAGAGGACGGTCTCCAGAGCTTCATTACTTTTTAAGCCTTCATCCTGAGGAGCCATAAAAAGATGCTAAGGAATGGATTTCGAAGACCATTTACCAGACGGTCTGTACCGGCTTGCAAGTAATGACTACATAGGAATATAATGTTCCTCCACTGTGTGTAATGGCCTTTTGTGCCTGGCAGTCTGGGTTATCAGGGCAAACTGGGATTGGCTACGATACGTCATTGCTAAGAGATATGACGTTGTGCATAACAAGTGATGCCTACTGGGGATCGTAGCTCTGTTTAATTCAATAAGGTAGACATGGCAGTATGCTGCATAAACCTGAAACTGAATACGATGCTTGGGGCTGTGTGTTCGTCTTGGTAAATTTGAGCCGCTTTTTAAACCACTCACTGTGTTTCAATATTTTGTATTGTTTTTTAAAAATGTTTATTCGTCATAGCGCTGTTGACTGACCTCGTGTTTTGGTCTCTTCCTCTTTCTGTGTGCACTCATGCGCGAGTCGCTGTGTCTGCCTACTTGTGAGTGGGCCAGGGCAGCGGAGTAGGTCTGGGGCGGTGTTTGGCTTAAAGCATATATGGGAGATTTGGGTAGCAGGAAGATGCTCAGGGAGGAAATGATTGAGAGGAAAGGTCAGTAGACAGGATGCCCTTTTTTATCTGATACAGGAGACGAAAAAAGGGAGAGAAAGAGCGCTGTAGTGGTAAGAGATTAGAGGTGAAAGTGAAGCCAAACAATAGAAGAAAAGACAGAGGAAATGTGAATAAAAAGAGCATGTTAGCATGACTAACTCAAAAAAGCCATACATAATATTTTCATCCAGAAACAATATCTCATAAATTTAAAAAATCAGTCAGCCTTCTGTGACGACTTCATAATAAGTAATGCAACATTCATGTGACCTGTGAGCTTTCCTGTGTTTTCAGGTCTCACAGTGTCAGCTCTGAGTTCCTGTTACATATCTTTTGTGATGCTTTTTACATTGTTTCACTGTAGAGATGCATCAATCCAACTGTTTCTCTCCCGATACTTCAACTCCGGGTATCTGCTAATGATCCAGATCCGATACCAGTCTTCTCATTAGAATCATTAGAGTCATTTTTATGAAAGGTGACATGAAGTCAGGGACTATTGTGCATAATAAGTTGGTGGCGTTTTGTGACTGAATAAATAACTGAATTTGATAATGATCACAAATAAACTGTATTTAATGTGGAAGCTTGAGCTGAAAGTCGATTAATCAATAAGTCGAAATAGGAGTAATTGTCCTCATTTTTCAAGTATATGTGCCAACCATACTCATAAAGCCAACTCTGGCTTTAGCCTCTCAAAAAAGTTTTGTAGCTTTTTTTTGGTCATAAATAATAGTAAACTGAATATCTTTGGGTTTGGACTGATAAAATTAAGAATTTTAAGACACCATGTTGGTTATGATGGCGATTTCCGTTATTTTCAGATAGTTTATAGACAAAATTTTGGATCAATGAAGTGAGGAAATGGTCTGCAGATTATCCTATAATGACAAAATGGTTGTTACCTGCAGCATTAGTCAGGACTCGCAGGCCCGATACTGATCCGGCATATCAAACGTGTGCTCTGTTTTGTGTGAGGAGAGTAGAAATGTATCGAACGTGTGGAAGCTTTCCGGTGTTTCCTTACAATACCTGAAACACCTCAACTCTCAACACATTTGCATTACTTTCAACAGCCGACACAATTGTGTTTTCAACTCTAGAGGCAAGGTGCAGCCTTTGGCAGCTATCTTAAGCAACAGACGGGGGAAAGACACAAATCACCTGTTTGCAGAGCCATCACTGGCACTATTGTAAAAGCTTACAAAGCTTAAAAATCTGAATTTGGTGGATAAAAGGGCTGTAAGTAATACTGTAGCATCTCACTGTCTCAGAGGAGAGTGTGAACAGGCTGCGGATACTTTAATTAAGATCGTTTTTTCCCCGTATAATGAAACATGTGGAATCACCTTTGTACCTGTTGTTAATTACCAACTCTGTGTTTTAGCTTTGTTCGCAGCAGCTTGTGTCCTTGGCACGGTCTTAGTCCTCCCCTCCTGCAGTATAAGCTAGGATGTTAATGATGTTACTTGCAGGTGCAGGACTTTTCTGTCTGTGTGTGTGTGTATATGTGTGTGTGTGTGTGTGTGTTTTCTACGAATGTAGATCATCTCTCTTCTTTATTGATGGGCTCGTCCCCTACCTCTATCTCCATGACCCAGTTCTTGTGTGCTGACACCCTCTATTCACATCATGCCTGCAGCAAACACGTGTTGTCAGAGCAGTGAGAAAGGGGGGGAAAGTGGGTGAACAGGAGACAGTGAAGAAGAGTAGATTGTATGTCCCTGTGTCTCGCATCTCAAATTTTCTATATGTATCTCACGTTTTTGCTTTTTTAGATCACAGGTCTCTCAAAGTAAATTCTGACACACTTATCTGTTTCTAACTAGCTGTATACCATCAAAAGAAGAAAGGAGTTATTCAGCGGTTTCTTTTTTTATTGTTTCATCTTTTAACTGTTTACTTGCTGCTGAAATACTTTGCCCCATGTTAACTGCCTATTTTCTTTCTTCCCTTGTTTGGTTCTACAGAGCAGCTTCCTGGGCAGTGCCACATTCTCAGTAGGCGATCTGCTGAGGGCTAAAGATGAACGACTGACCTTGAGTCTCAGGTGAGTGCATGTTTCTGTCGTACTCTGTTCGTCGCTCTCCGTGTCCCTCCAGGCTAAATAAAATCCAGACTTCGGAGTCCAAAGAGTACGCTTCTTCACACAATAACTGACAGAACAACTTAGAAATCAAACTAAGATGAGTTGGGGAAAAGAAACCTGCCTGCAGATGTTGCAACAGCAGTTTCAGGAATGTTGCAGTAGCTGCCAGAGTTGTTTGTATCAGAGGTGTTCTGTTAGCGTGTGGGAATACAGTACTCTGATCTGTTTTTCTGTTGTAAATGGGGGTGGGAAAAAGTGTAATTTCTCAGAGGTAGTGAAATGAATAGGAACACGTGTATTGTTTGAAAGGAGGGCAAAAACATTTGATTAATTAATCAAGAATTTCTTTCTAATGATTGGTCTGCATGTACATGTGCGTAAAGGTCATGAGCTTGTATGTCAATCAAGCTACAGTATGGAAGCCAACAGAAAAAGAAGGGATAGTAAGAGCTTTATTTTTTAGAGCTCTTACTATCCCGTCTTATCTTCTTGCATAAGAGCACTAGCGTCCTTAAAGACAGAACACTGAAGATATAATTAGTGATTTTGCCACAAAGGAGATTAGCCGTTTTCCTCTTGGAGGACGAATTGATACAAGCAACACATAAGCTGTGCTCCTGAACATGATTAATGGTGCGTCCTTCTTATGAAGCGCTTGACATTATTGCTAATACATATGATTTGTGTCTATAAATAAATGGCCGGCCGAGGCTTGACAAGCGTGAAATGGTATGTTGCTGGTAGGTTTAGTTATCTTACAAGCTGGTGTTTGGTGAGAGGATTGACTGTCGAAAAAATGCCAAGTGCAACTCGTGCATTAGTTGAAAATGTTTTTTGGGATAATTGTGCTGCTTTAGAGAATGAGGAACATACATAGAATACACTGCATTTACATGCTTGACTCATACTCATTTATTAAAACTAATGTTAAATCTCAAATAAGAGGACTAGACTGTATGCTGTCAATGGTTTTTTTTTTTTTCCTACTCTCTTTTGTTATGCTTTTCATTTCCTGTCGGTGATCCCATGTCTCTGGGTATAATTGTATCTTGCATGATTGACTATATGAGCTGCAGTAAGAAAAGAAATAATAACTTTTTTTCCTTCTGAATAAATAGTTGATTTGACGTCTTCAGGCCTTTAAATTATTCAATTAAATCAAGGAAGAACAGTCGGTTTTTAAGTAAAGTAAATGCATGAAATAAAAGCACTTTGTAGTTCTGTTTAACGACAACAGATTATTCAAGCACGATAGTTTAAAACATGTACTGTGCTAAATAATGACAGGTACCGTATTTAAAATACAAAACAGACACGCACAAAGTTATTATGGCCTGAGGAGCTGCTGCCGGTGTGGTGCTGTCGCAGCTCAAATGTGTTAACACTGCACAGCGATGCATGCATTACACATACAGACACACAGAGGGAACTTTTTTTGATTTGATATGCTGTTTGCTTGTTGGTTTATCCACTGAGAAAATATTTCAAAGATGAGCAGCTCTTCATGAGCATTCACTCTGGGCTGTACGACCTGTGCACGAGCCTGTGATTCACAGTTCAAATTAGTTCCGCTGACCAAGCAGCTCCGATGCTGCAGCACCGACATGGACAGGATTGCAATTATTTCGTCCCGTTAAGGAACAGATTCTTCATTTTACTACAGTGTTCTAATCCCCACCCGGTTGGTTGTTGCAAAAAGTCAGTTAATTTGAGTTGACTTCGCTCAGCAGAGGGAATAAGGGACTGCTTTTATCTCCACGAGGCAGGGATTGATTCCCTTCTGTGAATCTCAAAACCAATATGACTTTGACCAACTTCTCTTCATACGCTCTAGATTAACGTTGGTGCTGGGCATATGTAGAGAGGAAATTGGTATTTGACCAGTGCCAGTGTGTGTATGTGACTTCTGCTTTTAGTTTGACCCTTCAGTAAATTTCACTTTGCTACAGCGATGTCCACCTCAAAGCTCTTTCCTTTTTCCCATGAATTCTTTCTGCATTTCAGCCCCTCTCTCGGGTCTTATGCTTGCTTTCTTGTGTAACTGGTTAGGATGTTAATCACAGATTGTTTTTGTTTCCTGTATGTGTGACCGGTTTGATTTGGGTCACCTTTTTTTTTTTTGAGGTGCCCGACAGTGTCACTGAGTGAGAGTGTCGGATACATGGACTCAGTCCTTGTGAAAATCTGTCTTTCACAGGCACCATAAGCCCTTGAAGAGAGGATAAGGAAATCTTACCTTTCTGTATTCTCACACAACCAAAAATTCTATTTAAAAGCTAAAGTCTCTTTGAATGTCTCGGGCGGTATGGGAATGAGTGTAAACGCTGAAATCATCAACAAAAGTTGTTTCCTGTGAAGTTTGTTTTAAAAAGACTGTATGCATGTATGGAGCGGGAATTGATGTGTTTTGCTGGACATTTGTAGGAAAACACACGAAAAACAAGGATTTACTTTTTGAAAGAGACCATACTGTTGAATGAGGATATGTTCGACAGTAAAAACAAAATAATGAGCTGAAAGATGCTAAAATGCTCCAAGGAGCTGAGAGTAACTTATATTAATGAGGTTGTGATAATCATCTTACCTATATTGTTATTTGTATCTGTAATCACAATTAACCGTCCGCCACACCAAATATGCCGTCACATACTGCAGCATGCTGCCTCTGCCCTGTTAACTGCACGGAGCTTGTAGTAAATCTCTCTCTGGTTGTGTGTTACAGTATATGGACTCGGGAGTCCTTGCCTGATTCCCTTGTGGCCATTATTCACACAGAATGAAGGAGCTACTGTACCTTAGAAGTGCTTCCACACCGTAGCTGAGTGATGCATCACAAAGCCAGAATAAGTCAGAAGTGTTTATTCACAATGCAATAACTAATCACGATCATAATTGTGTTCTTTTTTTTTATTGTCTGCTGGTTGCAAACAAAGATGCATACAGTACATAATCTGTAGCATTTACTTTAGGGTTAGTATTTAGGTGGTAATGCTAATGATAGCAATGTAACAAGGGATTTAAAGGATTTTCATGTCATTTGTTCTTGATTTTGTTGCGTTTTATTTCAATCTCAAGCGAGAAATAAATTCACATACATTTGTAAGTTTCATCCTGCTTCTTTCTAAGCCCTGTAGACATTTTTATTTTTTTTTTTACTGAATAACCTGAAAAAGGTTGTACCTGCTTCTACCTCCGGTGAAGAGTTTGGCTTACTTTGCAGGCACGCACATTTCTAAATCTAGCGAGGTTAAAATGAGGACTAGGGACAAACAACACAGCCGTTGTGCTACAGGAGCTGGAAGGATGTCAGCACTGCAGAGGTCTCTCAATAATGCATGCTATGTATACACATGGGAGGAAAGATTATTATCTCCAAAAAGGGAGGTGAGCCTCCGTCACCCAACCACAAAAGAATATAGTGTTGTCGAAATGGGACAATAGGTAATATGAAAATGCGCATTCAATGTATACAGAAGTGTATTTAGTTGCACATTACGAATATAAAGCCTAAGAATGTGTGTGCCAAATTATTGACACACTTTCCAGTTTTTTTGCTGAAAGCTTTGCGTTCAGCCTCTTGCCCTCTCAGTCTCATGCTGTAGTTCCCCTTTTGCTCTTCTTGTTATCGCTAAAACTTCATACACTCAGTAGGAGAGGCACATGACCCAGTTCTACTGCACAGTTTGAGATTTGATTTTGATATGAATTTGTATGCTTGTGTAAGTGTGCTGGCGTGCACATGTACGTGCATCAGAGGTTTACCCATAGCAAGGCTACATTATCTCAGACCAGTGCCTCTGCTGCCGGGCTTCATGGCTTATTCATCCATTCCCATTGGATAGAGTTTCTCTTTGCTGTCCCACCAGAAACCGTTTAGCCCGCTATCATGATAATACCACTTTACCACCCCAGAGCCCTCACTATCGCCCTGTCACGATTCTCGCACTTACCCAGAGAAAGCCACCTCTCCCTTACACTGTATCCCCCGTGACTGATTTTTATCTGTGCCTGACCTGAAAGACCCACTATCTGATACAGTTATACTGAAGAAAAAATGTGTGTGTATGGGTTTGTGCGTTCTTGTATTAGTCATGTTGTGGGGACATTAATCTTTTCACACAATCACATAATGGTGACTTTCCCTCCCTTTTGGGGATAAAGATCTGGTCCCCACATGGTAAGATTAGTTTTTTGGTTGAGGTTTGGTTAAAGGTTGGGGTTAGGCATGTAGTGGTCATGGTTACAAAAGTCACAAAAACAGCATTTAATGTGCATTTGGTTTGGGAGTCCTTCAAGGGAATTCTAAATTAATGAGCTCCACATTGTAAACGGCATGACACAAAAATGCCAGACAGTGATTAAATAACTTTTGTGTGCGCCAAAGGTAAAGCAGTCTTGCTAATTACACTACTCTGCGGAGTGACTCCTCTTCCCTCCCTTGTGACAGTCACACACACTCACACATGTCCCCGGTTGCCATTGTGTAGTCATTAGCTGCTCAATTTAAAGCAGAGGAATATTTAGTTTGGGAAAAAATGAAATAAGGAGGGTAATTATTAAACATATGAACGCCTTAATTTATGGTGTCTCCATTTTATCCATGCAGCAGTGAATAGAGGAACATATGTACTGAAGCACTGGGGCAGGCTAAAGGACACTTAAGGCCACGGCACTTTAGTGTATGGCTGGTGGGAACTGTTTTATCTGTAGTTTTCACATTGAAGGGGCTCTTGGAAGCAATTTTGCGTGTGTGTGTGTGTGTGTGTGTGTGTGTGTGAGAGGAATTATTGAATAAAATGCATTCAATGCAGGTGGAATGGGTTCACACTCACATCAACTTGAATGCACGAAAGCACACACACACACAAGGATAACCATGCACACAAATCACAAAGACGCAGAGTTGCTTTGCATGCAGTATATATGGTAATACTAGCACACACAACCACACACGCCACATA